TTTTTAGTGTAGGAGTACACGTAGATATTATATTTCTTAAAGATAGTATAAAATTATTTAAGAATGATTTGTACTAGTTTCACATCTTTCTAAAGTAGTTAAATCATTTTAAAAATTATTCTGTTTTTTGTCAACTAAAAATTATTCTAATTATTGTTGTATTATGAAGGGAAAAATAAAATTTCTAAATTGGTCCACTACAAAAATCGCCCAACATTTTCTGTACAGTCTCCAGTCTAGACCTCTTTTTTTTTTTATCTTCATTATTCTGGGACACTCCTTCCAGAAACCGGAGCCTTTTCGTGAAAATTTGACAGCAGCTAGTCGCCTAGCTGCACGGCGGAAGCAAGCAATTAGGGTTTTCCAATTCCTCTTCTGTAGTCATCGATCGCCATGTAGTAGAGTTCTAGATCCTCTTTCTTCCCCACCCATCTGCAATACCGACAGTTCCTCTGGTAAATTACCTTTCTTTCCCGATCTTATTGCTGATTTCTTGTTCGTGTCGTGTTATTTCAATTTGCGCTTCCCTACTCGTGAATCTATATACTCTCCGCTTAGATTAGGGTTCCACGGATCCCTTCCCTTCAAATCCCATTGGGGGCTTCTCTTTCCGGCGATTATGAGGTTGCCGACCTCAGTGAAATCCCTGTTACAGTTAGAGGCAGCGGTGGGGAAGCCATCTAGACTTCCATGGATGTTTTCGTCGCTGTTTTCTTACTCAGAAACTCCTCAAAAGAAAGCAAAGGCTGCGCCTTTGCAGGAGACTAGAATGAGGGACAGAATGAATCTACATGCCAAAGGTGGTGTTGGTGGGGGTGGGTGCTGCAGCTTCCACAGAAGCAGGGTTGTTCGCCGTGGGAGAGCCGATGGTGGGAATGGTGGAAGAGGTGGTGATGTGATCCTGGAATGTTCCCCTGCAGTTTGGGACTTTAGTGGTTTGCAGCATCATGTTAATGCAGCCAGAGGGGGTCATGGAGCCTCCAAGAATATGATAGGCACTCGAGGAGACGATAAGGTCGTCCGAGTACCCATTGGCACTGTGATTCATCTTGTTAGGGGTGAGCTTCCATCTTTAGTTCAGGCCAGATCGACTGAAGCTGCTTTGGATCCCTGGGATCTCCCTGGTACGTTAGATACTGATCCAACTACAAATTTTCAGCAGGAGGCATTGGCTACTGAGAGGTCGGAATCAACTTATGAAGAATCACCGAACGTAGATGTTAACCAGAATAAGTTGACAACTGCAGAAAGTGAAGATGTACAATACAATGTTGCAGAATTGACTATACCAGGCCAGAGAGTGATCGTTGCTCATGGAGGGGAAGGTGGTTTAGGTAATGTTTCTACTTCAAATGTTCCGAACAATGCCAAGACTGGAAAACCAGGGATATTGAATAACGGAAACTCTACTGATCCTGATGATCACCCCTCCCTCAGAGCTGGTTCACCTGGTTCTGAAGCTGTCTGCATACTGGAGCTCAAGAGCATTGCAGACGTAGGCCTTGTGGGTATGCCAAATGCTGGTAAGAGCACTCTTTTGGGTGCTTTATCCAGAGCGAAGCCCACAGTTGGCCACTATGCCTTCACAACACTTCGGCCAAACTTAGGGAAAGTGAATTTTGAAGACTTCTCAGTCACAGTGGCTGATATCCCTGGACTGATAAAGGGTGCTCATGTAAACCGTGGACTTGGCCATTCCTTCCTACGACACATCGAGAGAACAAAGGTGTTGGCTTATGTGGTAGATTTGGCAAGTGGATTGGATGATGGTAGGAAAGGACTTCCACCATGGGAGCAACTGAGAGATTTAGTATTGGAGCTGGAGCACCATCAGGAAGGGTTGTCTGATCGGCCTTCAATAGTTGTGGCTAACAAGATAGACGAGGCTGGGGCGGAACTAGTGTTTGAAGAATTGAAAAGACGGGTGCAGGGTGTTCCCATTTACCCAGTATGTGCTGTTCTGGAAGAAGGGTTGCCTGAGATGAAAGCTGGTCTCAGGGTCCTGGTGGATGGTGGAGGCAAATCTGGGCGACTCTGCTTGGATAATATTGATTGTTCTGCTGATAAGATGGAGCCTGAAGCTGGAAACCTCTGTGAAGTCAGCTCGCTTTGATATTTTCTAGGCTACTCTGAGGAGGTCCAACGAAACCACACGTGTGCTGTGCTGCCCTACCTACCAATGTGTTTGTTAGAATTGCTGTTTGTGTAATACTGATCCCTGATTATTTGCCAAGGCATCAATCAGTATGCTGCAATAGAAGTATAGTTGAGGCATGAGATTTGTCGAATGATATATTTAACTGGTTCTCGATTGAGGGGATGAGTTAAATTCAGGGGAAACCATAATTAGTATGGGAAAGTCAGTCGAATAAAGAAAGCTCGCCGAAGTGATTGGAAGGGGGAAAGTTAGGTCTTTGGTTAAGATCGATATATTATGGAGCGGTTTCAGCAATTCTTTGGTGTGCTTATGCTACAGGACTTGTTTCTTGCTGATACTTTCTGCAATCTAAATGTTTCCCAATTAATAGAGTGCTTGTGTTGTGTGAATTTTTTATAATCTTGTTTATTCCTGAGGATTACAGATTTATTGTCCCATCTCATCCGCATTGTGTCTTTTTCAAGTTCTAGTACCAAAACTTGGTTAATAGTTGCTCGCAAGAATGTCTCTCAGTTCCTCGCTTCTTTCTTTTCTTTTAGGCTGACTTCTCAAAGCGAATGTTGAGTTTTGTACAGCGGAAGGGTTAAAGAGACGGCACTAGATGTGGAACTTCGCATCAAACTGTCTTGCTGGAAGTGTCAGTTTAAACAGCTCATCAAGTTCAAAGCCAAATCAAGTCACCCCATCTGAATACTCGGACGATGAAGCATCTTCTGTTGTGAGCAGAGAAGAAGGCCTGGAGTGCCCAATATGCTGGGAATCCTTCAACATTGTGGAAAACGTGCCCTACGTCCTGTGGTGCGGTCATACCCTTTGCAAAAACTGCATATTGGCTCTCCAGTGGGCTGTTGTGAAGTTCCCAACTTTACCAGTTCAACTCCCGCTTTTCATCTCCTGTCCATGGTGCAATCTCTTGTCATTTCGCCTGGTCTATGGTGGAAACCTCAAGTTTCCACGCAAGAACTACTTCCTACTATGGATGGTTGAAAGCAAGAATGATGATAGAGTCAAGACTCGTGCATCATCTACCTTTGAGGATCATCCAAATGTTTGGTCGGCGAATTCCAGCTTGGCTGGTTCTGGAAGTCAACATAATAATCACCATCACCACCTGCGGCAATCTAGGTCAAGCCATGATGCTGTTCACGGCAACAATAATCCTCATTTCCTCAGTGTGGGGAGGATAAAATCATCGCTGCAGAAGTCGTTGGTTTTCTTTGTTCACCTTACTGCCAAGTTCCCTTTGGTCATCATATTCCTTCTGATCATCTTATACGCCGTACCTGCCAGTGCAGCCATTCTGGCGCTGTACGTTCTCATCACTGTTCTGTTTGCCATACCGTCGTTTCTCATACTCTATTTTGCTTATCCCAGTTTGGATTGGCTTGTCAGAGAAATCATCACTTGATATCATGGTATTTGCCAGCTACTTCATAATTCGATGACTTTACGAGCCTCAAATGTGGATCGCCATTGTGTATCTATGTAGATTATACATGAGCTTTTGTAATGAATCTCTTCTGCTTGCTCCCCATTGGTATAGGGTCTATGTTGGCAGCAGAGGTACTGGAGGCAGAAGCCATCTTCTGCACTGTACTGGTTTCTGGTCATTTAGAGAGATCTCTTTATGTAAGACAAGTTTGTGGTGATGGTGGATTAGGGAAATTGGTTTCGCATATATGTGTAATTAAATGCTACCATGCTAGTGCAGTCAGCTTCAGAATCAGTGGTTTCTGTGCTATACTCATCATTGCTTGGCCTTCTTCCTTTTTCACCATTGTAGTCTGACGCTGTCGAAATTCGAATAGCCTACCGTTACGATTTCAGGCTGTGGATGTCCAATAACTTCTCTATAGGTGTTACCAACTGCACAATTTCAGCTGGTGGATGTCCATTGATTCATTATAAATGACGCCAACGTACTCATCGAATGATTGAGAATTTGAGATAGAGGATTACGCGTGGCGATCCGTAATCGCCTACAAATTTCATTTTACTGAGGATGTGTTTCAAATTGATGGTTAAGGAAAGCGAGAAATCAATTTTCCTTATGTGAAACGAGACCGTTCATTTCCCATCCACACTCCACAGAAAGCAAGAAGAAAAAAAAACTTCCGGGAATACTTTATACTTCATCGCAGGCATATCGCCACGTGTCACAGACATAGCTTCGAAACTTACTTAGCCACTCAATAATTCGTAGGAAAAATAATCCAACCTTCAGGTTCTTCCTTCTAACTAGGGATGGCAATGGGTCGGATCGGGTCGGGCGCGGATAGTTCATATACGTTACCCTATCCATAGTAGTTCGGGTTTTACTCATACCCATATTCATACCCACATGTGAAACGGGTAGAAAATCATAACCATGCCCATACCCGTTCGGGTTTCGGGTATCCACGGTTATCCATGGGTAATAATTTATCTTCATAACTCCAACAAATATGTTAACATTCACACGTATTCTCACATTACGTAAGAGGAAAAGTACGACAATTATTCACTAGAATGAAGAAAATTAATTAAAACTACACAATTTCATGAAAATTATATTTATATGCTAAATATAAAAATGTTAGAGAAAAATAATGATTATTTCTAGACAAAATACATAAGCATGTGTATAATCGGGCGGGTTCGGGTTGGATAGTGAGAAACCCATGCCCACCCATTACCCGCAATATTCGGGTTCGGATTTTACCCGTACCCACTAAATGTCGTTCGGGTTTTACCCTACCCGATTAGGCCGGATTCGGGCGGATATCCACGGTTACGGATATTTTTGCCATCCTACTTCTAACCCGCCAGGCAAACCAGAAGTATTGTTGCAGAAGGATATGATATGGCGGGAGCCATTAACCTTTGCGGTTCCATGTCAGCCGCATTACAGAATCTAGCAGTGTCTTTCAAGGACCCAAATCATGGATTCCTTGGTGGGTCATCGTTGAAGTTCAAGGATCTCTGTTGGGAATCCAAACTCAGATTCTCCACCAGCAGCAGAAGCGCAAGAAGACTGGGGCTTGTAGTTGCTGCTGTAGAAGAAGAAGAAGCCATCTCACAGGGAAGCTCTGATGGCAGATTTTACTTCAACTTCACTGGCTTTCCTTTTCCTCTTGGCCCTTTTCTCAACAGGCGCACTATTAGAACTGAGGTCGGTCCCTCTTCCCATCTCCTTCTTTAGCAGTTGCGGCTAGCAAAGTAATTTTCTTTGTTAAGTGGGTTTGGTACTTTGGTTTGTGTATGTTGGTATAGGTTGTGAAAGGATCCATATGGCTGTTTGAACAAGAACAAGCATTAGGGTTCAGCAGTGTCTCCACAAACATCAGAATGACAGTCATCAAGCTCAAATCTGGAGGCTTGTGGGTACATGCTCCCATTGCCCCAACAAAGGAGTGCATTCAGGTTCTTCACCTTCTACTTTTAATATCATACTGCAAAGAAACGATATAAGATTGACAGTTGATCCTCTTAGGCTTTAGCGACTTGAGTTATGAGGATGAATTGGTTCTCTATATATACTTGATCTTTGAAGTGTTGTGTTTGAATCCTCAAAGTCTGTAGAAAATGATAGAAGATTCAAACTTGATCATCTTTTTATAACTTGTGTTGTTGAGTTGAGCTTGTTGTTGACATTAGGGACCGAGAAGCTCAATATCCACTAATGTTTCTCGTCCTTCATCTGCACAGTAAGTCCGACGTGTGGCTTCGCTGACAAGAGATCTTGGTTTATATGTCACAGCTTCTGAAGGATTTAGATGCCCCTGTGGAGTATATCATTCTGCCCACATTTGCTTACGAGCACAAAATATTTGTTGGTCCGTTCTCTAGGAAGTTCCCCAATGCAAAAATTTGGGTTGCACCAAGGCAGTGGAGTTGGCCATTGAATTTGCCACTTGAGTTCTTCGGGATCTTTGGTGCCAAAACATTGAAAGACGAGGACTTGTCAACTCCTTGGGCGGACGACATTGAGCAAAAGGTTCTCAGTGCACCTGAAGTTGGTAAGTTCGAGTTAATTCGAGTTGTATTTAGGCAGTGGCGGCACAATCAGGTTTTCATGTGACAATGTTTGTTTCAGGGCTTGGGCCTTATGTGGAGGTTGCTTTCTATCATAAGCGCTCAAGATCACTTCTGGTAACCGATGCTGTGATTTTTGTTCCGAGAAAGCCACCTGACTGTATTGGTAAAGATTCACTGTTAGCCTCAGCAAAGAATGGCTTAGCAGTGAAAATCCTTAGTAAGGGGAAGGAAGTATCTGAGGAGCCTGTTATCGATAATCCAACGAACCGTCAAAAGGGTTAGTCTTTTTTGTTTTGTTCTTAACCCAACATCCAAAAACTAAGGACAGTGTTACATATCAAAAGTGTGACCTTGCAATTGTATTCTTAAGGTTTAGTCCATCAAAAGGGTTAGAATCATCTAATTTGCTTACTTTGTGCAGGATGGGAAAGAATGGTTCTCCAGATCCTATTCCTTGGTCCATCTAATCTCTTAGAACCCAATGCCAGTTTTGCTCAGATGTCCCAGAAATTGATAGTATCACCCATCGTAAGGACACTAGTATTCAGCAAAGTACCAGAAAAGGTAATGAGAGAACTTCATAATCCTGTTTTTTCAGGGTAACCAGTTCCTTATTTGTCCTTGGTTTAATAACGCCTGTTTCTTGGCTCGTCTCTTGAACACTACACAGGTGAGGGATTGGATTGATAGGATCGGGAAGGACTGGAGATTCAAAAGGATCATCCCAGCCCATTTCGCTGCTCCAGTGAATGCCAGTAGGTCAGATTTCATGGCTGCATTTGCATTTCTGGACGATCTATTGGGGGAACGATATGCTACTCGGCCATCACTATCTCTCCTCTTCGCAACCATCATGGGGAAAGCTGCAACTTACTTCCCTCCGGATGACATGAAGACTCTATCATCCCTTGATCAGTTCTTAGTTTCTGTTGGTGCAGTCAAGAAGACTGTCTCAGGCCGCCGGAAGAGAAAAGCAGCATTCTAGAACTGCAATGTAAGCATCATCTGTCTCTAGTACTTGCTGTTGATAATACACAAAATACTTGTGCCACAGTTTAGTCGTCATACTGATTCCAAATTTCACAAAGTTGAATATATATACCGTCGATTTAAGCACGCATTAACAGTTTCGACCCACATTTTCTTCGTTTCTTCGATTTCAAATATTTTTGCAGAACAAGTTGCAATGACAGTGGGTTTCTTGTGTCCTTTGTGGTCATGGATCATGTGGACGAATTTGTCATGATTAACGTTAGGAGTCCGATGAAGGGATATGTGTTGCTTGTTGTTATGATGTGATTGTTGTTGGAACATTGTTTATATGTTTGATGAAATTGGACTATCGGTTGGCCATAATGGTACCCGCCAAAACAGCATTTGTCCATATAACTAGTTTCATAATGATAAATTGGCCGGCGTCCCATTCCCCATTAAAAAACATCATAAAGCAATCTATTTCATACAAGAATCTATTTCTCACCAACCATTCGGTTGAACATTTTCTATGAACACTGCTAGTCTGGTTGAATATATAATAAGAGTTGGGGGAATCTGCAGAGCCCACCTGAGATGACTACAAATAATAGACCAAGAAGAAATTCAAGGGGGTAAGTAGTAGGATCATACAATGTATCCAAGAAAGGGAGAAATTTAGTCATGTATCTGTGTTGAGGTCTAACGAGAGTTTAAAAACGATCGTAGCTATTCCCTTATACAAATATGTACGTATATGTCCTCTGAAGATGAGAGATTTTTTTCATTGTGACTTTACATACAATTTGTTGTTATGTGAGCATGAAGGCTCAGGACTGTGAGGTTATGTTACATTGATATATTTGAGTTAAAATTTGTCATGTGAAGTTCTTAAGATCTTACAAGAGTCTAAGAAATGGTTATACCTCTTATCTTATATAAATTTGTTTCTTATAAAGATGAGAACCCTATTCTTTATCAGCGTCAACAATTTGCATGTGTTTCTCTCTATAACTCTATATAGCAAGTTAGCAACCATTCATTCTAAAATATCCATTGCATTCTTATATCAATAAGTGTACATCATCAGGACTACCCCTACCTCTCTATATTCAAGAAAATCACCTTAATCAATCAGGACCAATTATTCATATTATCAATTAAGTTCAAAGTTATTTGACCAAACCGAAACAATAATCATTATCCATACAACATATACATGAACTTGTAGAAGGAATGATGAATTGCGATTATCTTGATCATGAATCATGATCAATCATCATCCTCACAAAATCCTAATATACCAATGCGATTTGTTCTATAGTTGTTACTTAGCTTGGTAGATGGTAGATAGTATAGTATCCCCCACCTCTCACTTATGAAAAAGGTGAAGCAGCCATTTCAATGATTGATCAAGGAGGCCTCCCCTCCACTCCGCACTCGGCTTTTCTTTTTTTTACAAAGGGATCGCTTATATTGCTCAACTAATAAAATCGGTTACAAAGAGGGGATACAACATGAGAAAACAAATCAAGAAAGAACAGCCTCAACATCCAGAGGAACACACAAACCAACAAGGAGAAGATCAGAACAAGAGAAAGCCAAGCATGATCCAACTAGACAAGGGCATTCTAATCTTGAACCGCAAACCAAAGCATCTGATTCACTCTTTGCAACCTCATTTATCAGAAAATCTCAAAGGAAAGCTTCAGCTCATCCAATACAGAAATGACCATGATGATTGAACATTGCAACACCATATGCCGCCTCCAATGGAGGGGAAAAGCCTTACCTGCAGGTGAAGCGAGGAAAGAAGGAAAGAGATGGGGTTTAGGGATTTGGGATTGCATGGGAATCATCATATATGCTTTCTGACTTTCTCTCTTCTTCGAAGGGAATGGGGACAAGCTAAGAGACAATTTTGTAACAGTAGAGAGTTGGATATGAATCTCTTCTCTTGGTGGGTTTGTTTCTGCTTTCACTTTTATCTCGAGTAGCTTCCATTAACGTTCATTTCACCTTTTCCCTCCTGCTTTAGCTTTTTCTTGATCCAACAATGACATGTTCTTTGCTGACATTTTTATCCTAAAGATAGATTGTTGGACCACCATTGTAATTGTTGATATGAATCTACCTTGTACCTTTGGTTGTAAGTACTTAACTTAGTTACTCAACAACTAAAGAGGTATTCACACATGGGTATATGGTAAATTTTTTGTAGGAAATTGAGTATATATCTCGATCACGAGATAGATCGTATAATAATAATGCAAATATAATAACATGAAAAATATTATTTCTCTTGTGCTTTCATGAAATGATAGAGCTGTCAATTATACGAATTTGAATTGTACGATCAATATTAGTGAACATGTGAAATATGGACACAGTTTTCATTATTTGGAATTGGTGGCTAGAAAAGAGGAGTGTGATCTTGATTTACTTCATGACTTAAAGGAGGATAACGACAGAAATATCCATATTAATGATCCTTGGAGAGTTAATCCATGTGCTTTTCATGGAAAGATAGCTATCGTTGGCTATTGGTTATGTGTTTAAATAAGGGGGGAGTTCAATGGTGATTCATTTCATGAGTTAGAGGAAGGCAACAACAAGAAGATCCACAATTGCATTCCTTCGGAAGTCGATTGTTAACAAGCTTCATCATTCTCGATCTTGATTTTTGAATAATTAGCATACATCTTTCGAAACATGATCTTATTCGTACTTTGAAATTAATTGGATAGTATATTGAAAATCAATCTAAAAAATAACTTTGCGGTACCTCACATTCTATGCACACGATAAACCTTGATCTATAGTGTATAATACAAGTTAAATACACGAACGAAACTGAATTTTCTCTATTGTAAAAAAAATTTGAATTTTCTCTGTTATCAATTTCAAATGACAATTGATCATTAACCACCTCAAATAAATATTAGAAAATAACCAATTGTATCTTAATTTAAAAATTCATACTCCAGCAAACTGTCGCGAATTTACTTTACGAAAGAGTTCCTTTCAAAACTTTGAGAATCTCATTTTCGGTCAATTGATTCCAACAAATGGAAAGTCCACCACATTACAATAATGAAAATAATTGACCAAGTGAGTGACAATAAGAATACAAATTTAAGGAATTAAATGCACCAAATTAGCTTTCAAAAATTGAATTTTGAATAAACCAAAGTTAGTGTCTCCCCATTCATTCAGCCACCAGTCAACATTCTGTTCCCCTTCAGGCCAAATTAATACAAGGAAAGAATACAAAGTTATTATTTGCGTAAATCATTCATGAAAATCATTGATTAATAAGATTTTATTCAAATTGAACGAGGCCTTAAATAGTTAAATAAAGGTGGACGACAAGAACTTTTTATTAGAAATTTCAAAATTTCAAACTTGTCTTCCATTAAAAAATAATAGTAATAAATACTCATTAATAATTTTATACAAATACCATAATCATTTTGGATAAATTACTCCATACTTATCATTTGGGATGTGAAAAAATGGGTAATGGGAATATAAATAGGAGATTCGTAAATTCTGCAGCGGAGAGAAAGGAAAAGCTCACCATTCACCAAACTCAGCCTGGGGGGAATTGATCTTGGTTTTGAATTTTTATTGCTTGCACGATCTTTCTCCGGCAGAGTCGACCGACACGGAAGCTTAATTCATATTATAGTCTAGGAATCAATCTTCTCAAAGGCAAAATCCTACTCCAAATCAAATCTCTCTCACTCTTCTCCCCCATTGAATTAGTTTTCGGTTTTCCCTGTTTCCCCTTTTCCTTCGCTTTCTGGTTACGCACTATCCTCTGCTTTTTTGTGCGCACTTCCTTTTCCGTAACACCAACAACCAAGGAAGGTACGCTCCTCCTCGATAATCCCCACATCCTACTTTCGGTTATCTCGTCCTTCTTCCTCCTAAAGCTTCGATCTTTAGCCGAAAATTTTCTGGGCATTTGCTTTGAGTTAACGGGTCGGACTCTGTTTGATTTTGGTTCTGGGTTTTTCTGGGTGGGTTCTAGCTTTCTTCTCTTTGGGATTCCTGAGCCATTTTGGTTGTTGAATGTTAGTTGAAGTTGGGTGTGTCTTCCCATTTGGTACGGCTTATTTTGCTTGTTCTTTTTCTTTACTTTATCTCTATTCTCTAATGGGACGCGGTTGTTCATCCAATACGTTGTTATGGATGGTGAGTGGATTAGAAGATTTGCTGTTTCGAGTTCCTTATAGAATGTATTTATGTTGATCCATGGCTTTTGGATGCATTTGCATTATGCTACCTTAAGTGTTTGAATCTGTCATTTCTGATTCTCTTGGAAGATCAACCTGTTTGCTGCAATTCCAGATTCACTTACTTTTCCTGTTACATAATTATTACTTGTGCTTGTTGTGTAAGGGATGGACTGAGTAATGGTGTTTGATATTGATGGTGGATTCATGTTTCTGTGAAATGATTATTGTATGTTCTCTTTTTGGTTTTGTCAATAGGTTTTTCCATCCATTTCCACCCAAAAGTCTGCAGATTGAGAACCCTTTTCATTGTTCTTGATTAGTCTGGATACAATACAGTTCTAGACTCCAAATGTAGGTTCATAAACAATATTGAGAACAAATTATGAAAAACAGTTCTGAATAATTGTCTCTGTTCCTTTTATTTTCTCTGAAGGTTAAGAGTAATGTTTTAGGAAATTTATCTATGGAGGTTAAGATTATAACAAAGACATTATTTCTTGATAGGCCTGAGGTTGGCTTTTACAAAACCAAAGGACTCTTCTCAAAGTCCATTGCTTCTCGTGGCATTACTTGGTAAGTTATCCTTCTTATGCTAATAATCTTGTATAGTTGTATTGCATCTTCTTGTCACACTAATCACAGATATTTGATGGTTTCTTCAGTTGAGCATCTATTCGCTGTTATCTAGTCCTATCCAATGGCTGACAGGAGCATCAGTCTGCCAGTGACTCCAGATTCAACTGATTCTAGAAGAAGCTCTACTGGAAAGTTGACATCTTCCAAGGACGAAGAAAAGATTGTTCCCAATTACCTGCGAGCTTCTACTGGCTCGTGTCATGATTTCTGCAAATATGGGAAGAAGCATGCTGCTGAGGAGAAGGAAAGGCGCCCATTTCCCAGAAGAGCGATCAAGAAACCTACTGATAGTAACCAACACTCACCCGAGATCCAAATTCAAGTCTTTAGCAAACCTCGTAGCAAGAAAAACACAGAAGGGCTTTTGCTTTCTAAATCAGCGGACAGCAACAATGATGTCCTAAAGGCTGCTATATCCACTGCCAGGAAGGCATCAGTCCCAGAGCGGTTAAGACAGTCAGCTGACTCAAAGCTTTCAAGGTTTCATGAGAGCAAGACATCCCCGGCTGAAAGGTTGACAGGATCATTGGATGGTAAACTTTCCGGGTTTATTGAGACATCCTCCCAAATGGGAAGGACATCATCACGGGAAAGGAAGACTACTGCTCAGCCAACTGATCTCAGAACTTTAACTGATCCAGAAACCAATCTTGCATCGAAGACACTCAAGAAAGGCATGCCATCATCCTCTCTAGCAAAGCTCAAGAACCCCTCAAATCAAGCTTCACCAAGGGCTAAAGGACTTGCCCTGTCGGAAAAACTTGGTAGTTCTTTCAAGCCTAAATTATCGTCCTCTCCTAATAACAATGCAGCTGGGTTAAGTGCTCAACGAAAAAGCGACATTGGAACAGGACAGAAATCTAGCGCCCTCCCCAAGGTAGCTCTAAGGAAATTGCAGGTGTCCCCAAAACCCTTGGTGTCCCCTAGACTTTCTGGGGCAGGATTAAGTGCTCGACGACAAAGCGACATGGGATCAGGACAGAAATCTAGCCTCCTCCCCAAGATAGCTCTAAGGAAATTGCAGGTGTCCCCAAAACCCATGTCATCCCCTAGACTTGCTGTATCAGCCAGAGCTTTGGCTTCCCCAAGGGTTTCCTTGTCTCCCAGGTCTTCCCTTGCTGGTGTGGCAGGCCTAAATGCAAAGAGAAATCGGGCTGCGAAAGTTTTATCTGCTATGAAGAATGACCAACCAAAGAAAGAGGACAAGATTAGGAAGGCAGCAAGTAACTTGCAGCCCAAAATTCAGGACAAGAGTAAGAAGCAGGTGACTAGCAAGCAGAGAACGATAAAGAAAGTGAAGGAAGAGGGCGATGACAAGGTGGAGGAAAAAACTTTGTATGTCATCAAAATGGAAACCGAGGACAAACATATGGAGTCTGACCTGAACGAACGTCTCGACGGCGATACTTCGCCTCTTCCAGTTTCATCCCCGAGGCAGTTATCTCTTCCGGGATGTTCTTCAGCATCATCGCGTACTAACAATGAAGAAGAAGAAGAGGGATCCGAGTATAGTTTGACTGACGGTGAAGATGAGTCTTCATATGAATATGACGATGAAACAGAGTCCATGGGAATTGAAGAACAAAATAAATGGAACAGAAGGAAGGCGATGGTTTCCTGTTCTGGAGATATTGATCCACAACCCGTGAAGCTACGTTTCAGGAGGGGGAAAGTGATTGAGATAAAGTCGGAGAACGATGGTCCAAGAAGGCTGAAGTTCAGGAGAAGCAGAGTATTAAGTGAGGGCAAGAATCCGAAGGCTGATGGTCGTGTGAGGTATCAGAGCAGGGGAGAAGGTGATGTTGTTGATGCAAAGAAGAGCGAGGAGAAAGTTGTTTTGAGACATCAAGAAGTGGATGGAAAGAAAGATGCTGGGCAAGGAGGGCTGTTCAACAATGTGATTGAGGAAACTGCGAGCAAACTGGCGGAGACGAGGAAGAGTAAGGTGAAGGCCCTGGTGGGTGCTTTCGAAACTGTGATCTCCCTCCAAGATGTGAAGCCCTCTGGAAATGTCGTCGTCTCGTGACAGCGATGAGTGGATTAATGAAGTCCCCTTGCTAAACTTTGAATCGGGTTTCTTGCCAATAGAGCACAGTGTTGTGTGTGTGTGATGAGAGGGTGGCTTGGTCTTTTTGGTATTTCCAAATTGGTTATCAGCGGTCTGGGTTTGGTTTTGTGTGAAAATAATCAAATGAAGTAATGAAATGAAACAAAATTTGAGCAGAGCCAGCTTTCTCCTGTTACTGAATAGGCATTACTCATTGGCATTACTGAGTTGTCCTTGCTCCCATCTTCTCTATAAGCAGAAAATCCATGAACAAGATCCATGTCCTGCGTCATATTTGCAACTATCTTTAAGTTGCAAACTCCGAATCTCATTGTGTTCATCTTGGAGTTGAAGATTTCGAGAATAGTTCAAAAACATGTAAACAATAAGGTTGCATGCACTGCAACTTTGATTAGGGTTGACGAAATCTTATTGAGATATTCTGAATGTCAATCAAGCTACGGCAAGTTGGTGAATGGCAACTCTACCCTCACAAAAATTATATTCAGATAGAAGTATAGAACCAATTCATCACAATCAACAACTTTCGACTGGCAAAACATCAGTAATAATATGAAAACCATGAATAAAAGGAGAAACGAGCAAACGGGGTTGACATTGGCGAAAATCTGCTTAATGGTCGATAGATTACTGGATTGAGTGCACATCTTTGAAAGACAATGACCACTAGGTAAAGGCCTACACTATATATCCCAACAAAATTTGCCCACAACAAACCCTTGGCATGATTTGCACTCGCACCTGCTCACTCATCAAGGGGCAACAATAATCCGTCCAGCAACTTGGTCGAGATCCCGCTGTCCATTTGAGGTGATTCTCCTTCCACTGAGAACAAAACAAGCAATGCCTACCGTCATTAGCAAGCCAGTCAAGAACAAAACATAGATTAGGAAACTTTGCTACGATAGCAAGAACAGGAAACCCAATACAGGTTTGACAGCAGAGTAGAAGTTAACCAACGATGAGAATTTCACGTTCAATGTTAGAAAAGGGTGAAGCAGAATCCCTCAACTCACCCAGTGGGAACAACTTCCACAATGTTTAACTTCTGTAGTTCACTAAGAATATGTCTGGCAATAGCACCACTGCTTTTGCAGAAATGGGGCGGTCGACTTCCATTCCTTTTGCTTCCGCCGTAGATTCTTCGGAAAGCTCCCACGCCCAAGCCTCCCCTCAGGTACACCTTCCTTGCCATTGAGGCTGCAGTCATGATCAAGCTCAAGGTTATAAACAAATAATCAAGGAATCAAGTCTGTAAACTCACACCGTAAACTGAAGAGAGCAAAAATCAGAGCTAGATGGCTAATTAATACTCACCAGCTCTAATGTAGTACCAGTCAGGATCATATGGTGCAAGCTCCTTCAATTTACCAGTCTTGACAATATCTGTCCATGGGGGCAGCTCTATCTGCAATCCACAGAAGTAATTGAAAAGGATGTAAGACCCCTCACTCAACCCACACAAAGTTGCTCACTGTTGAGGCATCATACAAGTGAAAGCTGATCTTTAGATTTCACAATTGTATGGCAAAATCAACAAGATAGTAAATCAGATCATTCTCTCCTAAGTACTAAACCAAAAATTCATCCAAAGGAAAACCAACACAACCTCCAAACCTAAAGCTAATCCCTTTTGACTCAATCACAGCCCAATGATCAACAGAAACCACCATGACGAAATATAAAAGCTCCCCAGGTTGCAATGAACACCACTATGCATCTAAAAACGCCTAAACTACAGCCATAGATCAATGACAGTTCATCAATGGAGCCGTCGAGTGTGCATCGACGCAAGCGAATTGCTAGGGGTTTGGGAGTACCTTGCCAGACCGCTTGAGGTGAGCGGCATAGGCCTTGACAAACTCGTGAGGAGATACATCCTTCACAGTGCAAGCCTTCATGACTTCGCCGGGAGCCGCCATTCTTCCTTACCTTCCTTCCTTGCCCGCGAGTCTCTCCGCCGCTGTTGAGTGAGGGAGAGGTCTGTATTGGGAACAATACGTTGCAGAAATGGCTAGGGTTTTCGCTTCGTGATTATATTTTGAATTTATATGCTGGACGTATTTATGATTTACTTTGGGCCGGGCCTTCTATATTTCGATCGGGCTGCGAGTAGTCCATCAAGCAGTTTCTTGGCCACTGTATCTTGTAGGGATGGCAATGGGTCGGGTCGGGGACGGATAGTGCGTATCCGTTACCCTACCCAAAGTATTTTGGGTTTTACCCATGCCCATATCCACATAAGAAACGGGTAGAAAATCCAAACCATGTTCATACCCGTTCGGGTTTCGGGTATCCACGGTTATCCATAATTAATAGTTTTCTTTATAACTTCAACCAATATGTTAATATTTACACTTACTCTCATGTTACGTAAGATGAAAAGCACGACAATAATTCACTAGAATGAAGAAAATTAACTAAAACAACACAATTTCATAAAAAATTATATTTATATGCTAAATATAAAATATGTTAGAGAAAAATATTGATTATTTCTCATTGTTATAAGAACCGAACCGGATCAACGACCGGGCCAGTAGAACCGTCAAACCAGTTACGATAGCGGTCCGGTTCATTGCTTGAACAGTTATTGATGGACCTAACGGTTTTTTACGGTTCAACATAAAATCAGATGAACCAACACGGTTTAACTGGTCCACTAGCTCACTATTTTAACAAAAAAATGCTTTAACTGGTCCACTGGTCGACTTTACGTTGTCTACTACCGATTAGAACTGTAATTTTTAATTTGAATTAAAAAAATGTGGTTTCTTTTGTGAGATGGTTTGAATGATTTATTAGATATTTTGGTGATGATATGAATTTGAACTTGTTTATGGTCATTGATAATTTCCTTTTTAAATTAGTGTAATATACAAGTCTTATATGTTATATATCATGAACGGTTCTATCAACGGTTCACCAACGGTTTTATAACGGTTAATCATTGAACCCTAAACCACTAACGTTTCCGGTTCAGCCTTCGGTCCGGTTCTGAAAACAGAGTTATTTCTAGACAAAATACATATGCATGTGTATAATCGGGCGGGTTCGGGTTGGATAGTGAGAAAATCATGTCCACCCATTACCCGCAATATTCGGATTCGAGTTTTACCCGTACCTACTAAAAGTCCTACGGGTTCGGGTTTTACCCTACCCGATTAGATCGGATTCGGGCGGATATCCACGGTTACGGATATTTTTGCCATCCCTAGTATCTTGTATGTCCTGAATTGGGCTGCACATTGGAATATTCTGCAGATAAAATAAATAAAACTTACACTCATAATTGGAGAACTGAAAAAATAGGTGCAGTATTTACTAGTATGGATCAGAGGCGAGTTTGTAATTTAGTTTATGAAGTTCTTACATAGAATTAGAACATTCTGCTATCCTAATTGTTGCGATGTAAATACTGACTACCGAAAATGTTTGTTACAATATATTTCAACTTCAAAAACAACGTTAATTCACGAAGATACTATGGCTTAAGGGGGCTTAGGAAAAGAACAAGAAACAAATAACTATTGAACTCCATCGCCCAACAAAATGGGAGTATATCGAAGTTTATCCGAAGACGAATAGCTGTTCTAACCCAACATTACAATGAGACAGTAAAAAAGAGAGTACCATATCACAAAAGAGATATACGTCAAAATACAATGTAAGCCAAAAACGATACAGCAGCCTCTTGCGTTCCCAATACAATGACAATGCAAGAAGCAAAGGGGCAATAAGACTTAAAACGGGTAAGTAAGAAAGAAAGAATCATCGGAATTTTCTGTGTCTCAAATAAAAGCATAATATGATCTGTCTGGTAAGGGATCTCCAACTGGCCAAAGCATCTCAAAGTTCTCCTCTAAGCCACAGCAGGCAAGTCCTTCAACCACGCATCCAGAGGCTTACCGATCGAGTAGACGATGAAACCGATCTCCCTCAGCTTATCCACATTCACAACGTTCCTCCCGTCGAACACAAAAGCAGGCTTCTGCATGTTGTCGTAGATCCTCTGGAAGTCCAGCTTCTTGAACTCGTCCCACTCGGTCAAAATGCAGAGACCATGAGCATCTTTGGTTGCCTCATAGGCATCCCAGACCACGCCGACTTGCTTCACAGTGGTCGGGCTCATGGGCTGGAGGTGGAGAGGGTGGTCCCAGTCGAACTTCTTCATGGAGAGGTCCCTCTGAATCTGGTCCTCGGTCACCTGGGGATCGTAGATGCTCAACCGGGCCTTATCGCCCAAAAGCCCCTTGCAGACATCAATCGCCGGGGTCTCCCTGGTATCACCAGTATCCTTCTTGAATGCAAAGCCCAAAATGGCAATCTTCTTGGTTGCCACGGTGTTGAACATGGATGAAACGAGACGGTTCACGAATCGGTTCTTCTGGTAGTCATTGATCTTGATGACTTGCTTCCAGTATTCAGCCACCTCGGGGAGACCATTGCACTCACAGATGTATACCAGGTTCAGAATATCCTTCTGGAAGCAGGACCCACCAAAGCCGACACTGGCGTTCAAGAACTTAGGGCCGATTCTCGAGTCCTTACCAACAGCAAATGACACTTGAGTGACATCAGCACCAGTTGCCTCACATAGAGCTGACATGGCATTCACCGAAGAGATTCTCTGAGCCAGGAAGGCATTGGCAGCAAGCTTGGAGAGCTCAGCAGACCAAAGGTTGGTGGTCAAGATTTGATCTTCAGGGACCCAGTGAGCATAGACCTCCTTCAATGTCTGAATTGCCTTCTGCCCCTCGGGGGTTTCCCTTCCTCCAATGAGAACCCTATCAGGGTTGAACAAGTCTTTGATGGCTGTTCCTTCAGCAAGGAACTCAGGGTTTGAGAGGATCTGGAACTTGATCCCCTTGCTGTTGTGTGTCAAGATCTTCTCAATTGCCTCTGCAGTCTTCACGGGAACAGTTGACTTCTCCACGACAATTTTGTCCGATTTGGAGACATCAGCGATCATACGCGCTGCACTCTCCCAGTAAGTGAGATCTGCTGCTTTCCCAGCACCAAGACCCCGAGTCTTGGTCGGGGTGTTGACCGAGACGAAAACAATGTCTGCCTCGAAGACGTGCTTCTCCACATCGGTGCTGAAGAACAGGTTTCTGCCTCTGCACTCCTTGACAACATCCTCGAGGCCTGGCTCATAGATGGGTAGCTGGTCACTGTTCCAGGCATTGATCCTGGGGACAGAGATGTCAACAACTGCAACTTCAATTTTGGGGCACTTGAGTGCAATCACAGCCATGGTTGGCCCACCGACGTAGCCAGCACCAATGCAACAGATCTTCACCATTTTGTCTTTCCTGAGATGAAATACGGCAACGCCAAATTAGAATACCGAAATCAAAAGGCACATGCAAAGAACTCAAATTTCTGATCCCAAACCCCCCACCCCCCAACCTTCTCCTGATCTATAATTTACTAGACTAATGTAACAGACTCCATTAATTTAAAGAACAAGACTTGTTGCACGGTGCTTTGGTGCCTAAGATCCAATCATTTGCATAGAGATAGGCCAACTGTTTGCAACAAATTCAGCACTTCCTACGGATCCCGTAAATGAATTTCCTGAAATTATGTAAACAGATCTAGGGAGCGTACATCATGCTATTGCCAAGCCACATGGATCTCGGAAGCTAAAAGTGCAAATCACAGGCTGATATGCACGTTTGAGCCAATAGGGGAGAAGAACGTACGAAGTAATCACGAACAAAACGGTCACATAACACAACTGAATCCACCACAATAGTCCCTAATAATCTATAGCTACATCTCGTTCCAAATCAATTCAAATCTAGCGATTTCCATAGTCAATAGAGAAAGCAAGCAACTGAACCGAATTCACAAATCGGCAGGCAAACCAAGCTCACAGATCTCGCAATTCAAACAATTAGATCGAAGAGCCTGACTGACTGAGCGCGAATAGAGGAAGATAGCTAACAGAGAATCAAACACTATAGTCGTGGGGGGCAGATCGGTAATGCATACAGTCAATGGATCTACGCGTAGAATTTCAGAAATCGGGAAGGAAGAGATGAAGAAACACGACAATGGAAATCGGAAGCGGAAAGAGTGAGATCGGGATTCTTGCGCGTACCTTGGCAGTCGGTGGAGGGAATCTAGAGAGAGAGAGAGAGAGAGGAGCTGAAAGGAAATGGGTGCGATGGTGGTGGACGAGAGAGAATGGGAGAAGGGAGGTGGGTTTATATACAGGGAGCAGGAGGAGACTGGAAGAAGAGCGCCAGCAAATTTAGTCAGCAACAAAAGAGGCGGGGAGGAGAAGAGATCTGCGACTGTGTGTAAAATGGTGTGGCCCCTCTCCTAAATCGAGGGTCGGGCGCATAACCGGTTATGCGGGTATGCACAATTAGGGCGGAACCCGCAACTTTGGTACCGGTATTTGGGATTATAACAATATAGTATTAAATTAGTCGATATTTTGTATTATCGGATATACATATTATTTTACGTGATTGGGAGTGAGATTGCATTTCAAGTGTTATTCGGTATTAGAGATTAAGGAATTGAGATCGGTGTATGCCGAAATATCGATTCATACTGAAAAATAAGCTAGTGCGTATTTTATCACTCACTTCTACCAACCCATCAACCGCCAAGATGGTTAGTTAATTGCACATAGCTCATTTTGTTGCTATTTGACAACTCATGCAACCTCATTTTCTTACTTGTAGTATATCTAGGAGTGGCTTAGTGGTCTCATGTTTTAGTTTGTTGTTTTAGTTTGTTAGGCACCACATTTTCTAGTTTGTTATTATTATACTTGAGATTTGTATACGAGTATTGGCACCATTGTTTGTTTTTATATGGTGTGATAATGGTTTGTGAAGCGACTTGTAGAGGAGAAGTATTTGCGTTTGTACATTTGATTTGTGATTTTTGAAGGGAATTAACATTGTATTTGATATATACTGATGCCGACGAAATAATTAGGGATTGGGATAACAAATTTATTTTGGGATCGAGTTTAGGACACTATTTGGTGTTAGGGATTTCAGTATTTAGTACTCGGATGCCGATACCATACTGATTTCTAGCCATATACGCAATGATATTCGACAATTGGATTTTGATTTTGAGTAAGACCATATTTTAAGAGATCATCTAAATTTTAAAATAATTTGCACAGATAGAACCGATTTGTCGTGATCAATAAAATGATTTTTTTTTAACATATTTCGAGAATTTTTTCTTTCTTTTTGTGTCACCTATACCGTCCATTTAATCTAACTAGGTAAATATCAGAGCGGGGATAAATATAATGCTAAATGCTATAGAATAGAAGAATTATTCGTGTCAAATGCAACTCATGCTCTTACTTACACCTCGAATTAAAATTCTAAAACAGAAATATCAAAGATGGGAGTCTTAGGAGATGGCACATGCTTTTGCTTCCTGATATCATTTGCACTTACTATTGTTAATCAACTCGTAATTGGGGGTTAGAGTGTAGACTGTAGAGTCAGAGAGGTTGTTGACGTGGACTCGTCACTCTTCTCTCTTTCGTTGAATATTATTATTTACTAACCCTGCAGTTGGCAGAAGGTGGTGGAGGAGTGGAATTGCGGGAAGATGATGAGGGAGAAAACGGCAAAGGAAGAAAAGGTGTGTAGAAAGAAAGGAGCAGGAACGCAAAAAGGACGGTGGCGGCTTTAAGTCGAATGGACGGAAATGACCTTCCTTCCATCCCTAATTTGTACCAAGACGCGGTTTCAGCGCTGCGGCCACGTACGGCAGCTAGCAGCAGGCAGGCACCGCCGAGCCAACAACGAGTGGCGCAGGATTTCCTTTGACAGCACGGCACGGACCGGAACTTTGTCCAAATGTGACGATAACCCTTTTGTATTTGGTGAAGATGAGGTGAACCAGTTAATGAAAATCTCTGGATTACTGGATACCATGATTAACGGCTTCATTATGGTATAGGTGACTCAACATACATGGTTTAGATGTTAATTTTTTTTTTTGATGATTTTGTAAGAGAGAGTGGTGGCGGTGGAACGACGAATAGATGGCTTTTGATTTTTAAATGACGAGTTTATCATTGATATGTTCAGTCCAATGCTAAACGAGATTTGAGAACCATATTCATATTACGAATGTGTTCGTTCCGATTTGATATTGTACAAAATATTGATTTGGTCCCCTTTTCTATTTGATATATTTAGAAAAAAATTCAATTGATCGAGGATCAGGATCAGGATCGTATCGGTCCAAATTTCATTTTGATTTGATACAATTTGATACGAACCAGAATATTGCACACTTCCGTCGACATCTTCTCGAAAGATATTGTGATGAAAATATATTAACGAGCTGGTTTCACTTTGAATTGTATTTGGACATGTATATTGGTGGGGTCCCTCCGCCTGCAAGTCACGAGAATGGTAAGTCTTCTTCATCAAAACATTTTCCAACCATTCACCAATTATGATGATGATGGAGAGACGTTCTTACAAAAAGAAATGATGAACGAGTTCCATGTGCAAGTACAATTTATTTTGGGGGAACGGGTAAAAAGGGAAACTTGGAAACTAAGCCACCAAATTATTAAACCTAATTATTTGCTTCAGGATACAGGAAAGGAAAGCCTGCAATTTGATGAGTGTTTCCCAAGCTTCCACCATCATTTGATGATAATTATATTCTTGGGGGAGAAAGGTACTCTAAACCCACCTGGAAATTTTCTAATGACGATGTTCGAGAACAGATCCAAACCAATTCACCAACCAGATCCTAGGTACGTATTGAAATCCATATCAAAGAGCCATATTCTTTAGCAAACATAAAAAAGAAAAAAAAAAAAAAATTTGACGCATTACATATCGTATTTGCCTGCCTAGATAATATTGATCAGAGAGCAGAGCCTTTTCGTGTTCGCCCCCTTGTACACAGCGGCGACTACCTAACTTATTTCTTACGAGAATGGCCTAACTAACTCAAGCTCAACTTACCATGCCTGTCATTTGCCGCCTTTATTCTTGACCTGATCTAATCACTGCTGCAGCTGGGATTTAGCTAGCTGGCTACTATACACGAACGGGCTGAATGTTCCAAATGTCTCTGGCGTACTCGTGGATTGTCCTGTCGCTGCTGAACTTGTACGAGCCAACAGTGTTCATGATCGACATTCTCGTCCATCTCTGACAAACCATCAAACATAGACAGATTCAAGAATGTTAAGGGAATGTGATTGGATTATGGAACGCTAGCTCGTACTCTGTGTGTGTATATAATCTGTAGCTTTAAACAAAACATCACCTGTTGGTCTCGATACGATTTGTCAACCTCGTCCTGGCACTCGATGTAGCTCGGGAAATCCTTGCCGACAAGGAAATAATCACCGCGGCCATAGCCTTCATTGCCTTCTAATGATCCAAGCAATTCGTCGTAACTGTTACCGCCAAACACACCACTCCTCACGAACTCCTTCACTTCTTCAAACCGTGGGTCAGCAATGAACTAGAAACATTCACCAGCCATAGTTAGCACTGCAATCATTATGCTGAAATCGACTCTGCTGGATAATGTTGCATTTGAATGTAATGGTAACAATAGGCAGGAAAAAAGTACCTTCCCCTCAGCTCTTTCTTTCCTCAACCCAGCAATCTCGTCGGCTCGAGCACCAAACAGGAAGAAGTTTTCTTCACCAACCTCTTCCCTTATTTCGACATTAGCCCCATCTAAGGTTCCTATTTGTACACAGCCGTTCATTGCAAACTTCATGTTGCTGGTTCCGCTTGCTTCCATGCCAGCAGTACTGCAAAAATGTAGGAGAAGAAACTCAGAGAAAGCAAATCTCATTGTGTTCATCTCAACCAATCATTTTTAATGTTTTTTTCCGGGGTAAATATTTTGGTGGTTGATTGATTTCATGGATCAGAAAGAAGAAAAAAATGAAGCGCACACAATCATAACTCGGAAATCTCAGGCTGGTTTCCAAATCTAGAACTCGTAATTCCTAAATTCATTATACTAGATATCGTGGCCACTCACTTTTGTAATGTCCCGTCCTCACATGAACGGACCAGTAAGCATATAATATTGTTCTAGTTTTTGGCTAAGCCAACCAAAGATCAAGTATATGTAATATGATGAGTGGGAGAGAGCGCTATTGATACTACAATTTCAGTTTAAACAGCCATAGACTTCAACTAGCTAAACGCCATGCATATATCACCTACAAATAAATGCACAGAGCTTACTGCCTTCCCTTGTGTACCAGCCATGTCTCAGCGGAACCCAGTAATTAGTAAAACACTCAAAAGGAAAATTTCGCCAAGTACAGATGAGAGTTACCAAATTTCAAGTTCAATTAGTGGAATAAGGTTAGATATTAATCTGGTGTGTCGAGCATTTTCAATGCAGGTGGCATGTACATTTAAACTTCTCTGGTATTTTGAGCATGTTCTTAATGTCTGGATGAACAAATAATTGGATCGAGAGGAATAGTCGAGGAAAGCACATTTGCAGTACCTGATATGTTGAGAGAGCTCACTTGCTGGAATAAGCAATTCAGCTACACTGACGTTGTAATCTGGGACAAAAATCACCTGGTACATAAGACAAACAAAACCAAGCACATAAATTATCTGATGATGATCAAGTGAAACTCCTATCAGAGTTAAATATGCCAAGAAACCATGCAAAGGGTCCTTGTTGTTTAATATGCATACACATATAATCAGGTCCCGTATCCCGCTGTCTACATGGAAGGATATGTAGAATGAGACACCTACGCCACTATAGGTTTGTAATCAGATAAAGAAAGAGAAATTTGGAAACCAAAATTATCTCTTGCATCACATTCCCAATGATCCTTGCACGATTTTTTCTTAATCACACATCAGCAATGTTACAGATTCTTGGAAGCATGCATACCTTCAGTAAGTCACCTATCTCTGGGTCATGATTAACAGTGATACCAACATCTGTGATGAACTTCACTATTCTCTTGGCTTGCACATAAGTAGCAAATGCTTTCCCCCCAAATATACAAACTCGTGGAACATACATGTTTTTCCTTTCTTCTGCACTACTTTCTTTCATTTTCTTGTAGCGGTAGACAATGCCTAATATATTAAGCAACTGGCGCTTGTACTCATGGATACGCTTCACCTGGAGATGGGATAAGAATGAGAATACAGTGACTTCGAATGGCAGTAATGGTTTTGTAATGTGCTAGGGGAATTGCAAACTGAGGCGAAAAGGTGTTATTATGTCCACTATGACACTAGTCCATGCTGGTTTTGAAGAGTCAGGTTGTTATGCATAGTTTTCCAGTTAGAAGCATCAGTTAACAT